TTATGTAAATTCACCAAAAGGAAATTCACCATTAAGAATCCACAAATTTTGGTTGGTGGTGTCATGCAGTTGCACAAGGCCACATTTATAGCATAAAATTATGGAAACTGAAACCATGAGAGTTACTAAGTAGTTAGGAAGCTGCTGTCAGTTTCCACGCTGACAAGGCAGTCATTGCCTCTACTATGAAGTGGATATACAAACAAAATACAATTGCTGAAGGCATGCTCATTTTAAATTCTATAAAAATATAGATCATCGTCAGCCCAGATTAGCATTTTTAAATGATAGCTGACATCAAATTTATGTCAGTGAATGTAGATACCTTGAATATAGGAGGTATTGTTATTTTTTAAAAAATCTTCCCCTCTCTGGATCTAAGACTAATCCTTTTTTGTGCTGACTGCAAATCTACTGCATAGGAATGGGTGGTCCAAGGCCAGTAAGTGAGCTTCCTTGCTGAGCAAGAATTTGAACTCGGGCTCTCTGGCTTAGTTGTTTCATTTTCATTGTAATGATTCTTGCAGGAGGATTATTTATTATTTATTTATTTAGTACATTTCTATACCGCCCCTTTCAGCCTTCTGGCGACTTGAGGCAGTTTACAAGGCAAGAATTCAATGCCACCAAGGACACAATTACAATATACAATATAAAAAACATCAGCAACAATAAAATCAAACATTATAATGAAACATACTTCAATCGATAATCATTAAAACAATGTCCAGTTCCACCATATAGTTATTCCATTATTATATCCATTACTCCATATTTTCAAATGTCCATGTCTTAAGATTCTTCTGGAATGATAGGAGCGAGGAATCCGATCTAATCTCTCTAGGAAGGGCGTTCCATAGCCAAGGGGCCACCACTGAGAAGGCTCTGTCTCTCGTTCCCACCAACCGTATTTGTGATGATGGCGGGACCGAGAGCAGGGCCTCTCCAGATGATCTTACAGTCCTTGCAGGTTCATAAGGATCACGTTGTTATGTCATACACAATTTCAAAAACATGACTATATGTAATGCTAGTTTTAGAATCAAATAGTAGCAGTTAAATGTATGTCCTTGCTGTGACACAAGCTTTTGTCAGTGCTCTTGCATTATTAAGTAGTGTTCTGAGTTGGCTGGTTTACATGGTGAGATAGGCCACAAACCCAGAAAATATAGAATATTGCATTGTAAGCACAAACCAAAAATATGCACAGTTAGAATAATGAGCCAGTTACATAGCTATGATACAGTGTATCTTATCTGAAGCAAAATGTTTCTTTAAAGTTTCTTTGAAACAAAAAACAACAAATACAAAACAAGAGGGGCTACTGGTGATATTACTTTGTAGGATCATACAGATACTGAGGATGAAGACCATCAAACCATACTTTTGTAATATGATGCCACTACTGTCTTACAGTATTCAGTGAATATTGTGGGTTATATTTGGGCATTAGATAGATCCCTGATAAGACCTTCAGTGGTCTGGTGGTGCAGATTAGCTAATGTAGGTGGATTATTTTGCAAATAATTGAGACTGCATGCATATTTTAGCAATATGATTCTTAACATATACTGTTTGGGAACATCAGGGTGTGTCTGTCATCATGAACACCAAACAGCAGTACCCGGACAAAAGAGAGGGTGGTAGTTGATTCATGGGGATTTGCATGGGTACAAAAACTCTTTAAAACCTGCTCTCAAGTTAGAGGACTCCTGGTCCCAGCTATATATGAACTCACTAGGTATAGAAGACTGAGAGTCCAAGAGAAGGAACATTGACATCTGGTTGTGAAAAGGGAGTAAGGAGCAGAGGATGCTAATATATGTGTCCGTAGGTAGGGAATATCGAGCCATTGTCGGAATTATTACTAGTTCAAACTGATGACTTCATTTTCTATTATTCTATTATTATCAAGAAATATTTTTGTTGGGCTGCATAGTATATAATATCCAGGTAAAATTTTATTGACTGCAAGCCCCATGTTGCAGTTCAACATCTGGAGGGGTACATGTTGGTATGAACACCTTGCATCAAAGAACACTGTTTCATCTTGTTACATATTGGAGAGCTGTGTGAATACAGAGTAGCTTTCAGCAGCTCAGCAGTAAGTCACTTGCTTCATTTTGCACATCAAGTAAGAATTGAATTAGAACAAGTACTTGCTTTGGTTTGTTTTTTGCCCTCCTCTTCAGCAACCATTACAAGGGCAATCATATGCCAGGGATACATCCTGCATGGCTTCTGTAAAGTTCTCTTTGTGGGGCTGCATTTGAACAGTGTTTGAAATTGTTGCTAGTCCAGAGGAATGCAGCTATTTTTCCCCCACAGGGCCTAATTACAGAGCATCTGAAAACTCTACCTAGAACAACTACATTGGCTATCAGTATAATTTGTGAGAAATTGGCTTTTAACTTATAAAAGGATAGCCAGTATTTAGGAATAATTTGTAACTTGAAGTATTCCCTGTTTTTCTAGGCTTTTAAGACTGAACTGGAAGTAGTTTTAATAGTGTAATATTACTTTTAATTGATATGTTTTAAAAGTTAAATGCTGTAGAAACGTGATCATATGTTAACAATAAAAGTTGGTATGTGTTCATATGTTTTTATTTGTGTCAACTCTTCTGAGTCTTCGCTCTGGGAAAACTGTGGGATATAAATGAATAAAATAAAATAATATTGAGTGTTGCTTATCTTTATTGTTCTGATATGCATAGACACTGTCACATACCAAGGGGGTATGGAGTATTGGCTGCTTTGGAAATCTCATTCTTTAGAAAAGCTCTATAGATGCATCTAGGAGACATAGCCCTCAAGAGAAGTAAACAACTGGATTTAAACCAAACTAGGCCCCAGATCCCAGCTGTTCTTTGGAAGCTAAACAAAGTCAGCTCTGATTAGTGCTTGGATGAGAGATTGCCAGTGAATACCAGGTGGTGTACACTGTATTTCAGAGAAAGAAATTAACAAACCACCTCTGAAGATTGCGGTGTTGTGTGGTTTCTAGGCTTTATGGCTGTGTTGTAACAGTATTTTCTCCTGACGTTTTTCCTGCATCTGTGGCTGGCATCTTCAGAGGATCATGAAGATGCCAGCCACAGATACAGGCAGAATGTCAGGACTGAATGCTGCTAGAACACGGCCATACAGCCAGGAACCACACAACACCCCAGTGATTTCGACTGTTACAGTCTTCAACAATACCCATCTGAAGATTCCTTGCCTATGAAAAACCTATGAAATTCATGGTGTCACCATAATAGGCAACTTGAAGACTGATAAACAAACATCCATGTTTAAGTATGAAGTAGGGAAGTAGAGAGGAAAACTGGCTTGAGAAAGGGGGGGGGAAAGTGCCTGCTCTTTCACTCTGCACTCTTTTTTCAAATTTTAAATTTTGATTTTACTGAGTTCTTAAGTCATATTTCTGGTCACCTGTTATAAAAAAAGAACAGTTGCTTTTAAGTAGAGATGAGCTTTTTCAAGGCACCCAGTATAACACAAACTGACCTAAGGTATATATGAGCACATGCACCAAACAAAATATGCTGATTGATAACTGATGCAGCCTTACTTCAGAGACTGTTAACTGAGACCTTTGATATTTCTATTTGACTTTTCAAAACCCGAGGGCCCTTCCAGACAGACCCTATATCCCAGGATGTGATCCCAGGTTTTCTGCTTTAAACTGGATTTTATGAGTCCGTACTGTCAGATAATTGGAGATAAACAGAAAATCTGGGATCAGATCCTGGGATATAGGGCTTGCCTGTAGGGCCCTGAGAGACTTTAAAAAACTAGTGTGACTCCAGATACAGGGTGAGGCAGCATAACATCCTTTTTTCAAAACAATAAAACCCATTGTATGAATCAGATTTTTTTTATAATATAGGTGCATATCAGAACAACAAAGATAAGCAACACTCAATACGTAGTTTTGAAGATCAAATTAGGTAGGTGACGTCCCCCATTCTCCATACACTGAGTAAACCGATTTCTGACATTTGACATGACTCTTGCCAGCATAGCAGGCGTTATGTTGGCAATTTCTTCCTGGATGTTGGTTTTCAAATCTTGTAGGGTCCTTCGACGGTTCACATAAACACGGGATTTCAAAAAACCCCATAGAAAAAAAACACAAGGGGCCAAATCTGGAGAGCGGGCCGACCACTCCAAATCTGCTCGAAAAGTAGGCTTCAATGGCAAAAGCACTCTCCTCACTGTTCCAATGCATGGTGGCGACTGAACTGTGCCAGGACAAAACTTTATAGTCCTGCCTCTCGAACGAGAGCACTAGTGCTCCGCTATGTCTTCAACCAACTAAATGCCGCGCATTTAAAAAAAGGAAGTTATGCTGCCTCACCCTGTATAAAATTAGAGCTTCCTATTTCATTCATGATCAAGTCTCAAGAGGTTGCTGTTTTGTCAGCCATTAACCTGACTTCGTTGAACTTTCTAAAAAGATTTATAGAAAATTTAGCTTTTTTAATTTTAAAAAATCATATAAATAAAATGGTTTCTATTACATTTCGTTGCTTTCATTATCTCAGAATCCCTCCAATTGGAATGGATATCACAAACCTCTAGCACTAGTTAGTTATCACTAAATATTTAATCAGAAAAGGGGATGCCTCATCTGCTTCTGAATTTTTTTTTGTAGTGATCATAATGGACACACAGATTTGAAGGAAAAAATATTTCATTTACTCGTTGCCATAGCTTCTCTTAATATAGGGCATTTAAAAGAAAATATTCTTCTGTATATTTTCATTTTCAATATATATTTATTTAAGGGCATTATATTGTTGACTGGGCAGCATTTTAAATATACAGAAAGTAAACTGTAGCAGAAATTATTCTAAAATGTTCACTCTACACACCAGTTTCCAGCTACTTCATTAAGTAAAATGTGTCACATATAAGGCAGTGAAATATACTGTTGTTCTAAATTTGCTTTCATGTATTACGTTTAATACACAGTATAAATTTTTCCACCCACAGAAATTAGCAGAGTACGGAAAGACATGTATAACGACACATTAAATGGTAGTACGGAGAAGAGAAGTGCAGAATTACCTGATGCTGTGGGACCTATTGTACAGTTACAAGAAAAACTATATGTGCCTGTAAAAGAATATCCAGATGTAAGTACATACTTTTAGTGAATCTATCTTCTGGCTTGTGTGATAACCTCTTACTATTCCTTCTTATGTGACCTGATTTTTGTGGATCCAAGCATGCTGTTGTGAGTGGTAAGGTTTGACACTCTATAGTTCTCTCCCCCCCCCCCCTTGTTTTATGGTGAATGTCATCCTCATCTTTTTATAAAAAACTAAACTAGTATTCAGAAAGCAATCATCTGACAGAATATCTTAGTTAATAGTTTTACTAACCAGTGCCAAGTATAATAGTTGATCAAGCAAAATTAAACAGTAAAAACTGAATGAAAACACTGGCAGTTTGATGGGTTCCAGAAATCATCTGATTTTTTTTTAGTATAAAACATATCAGTAGTTGTGTGGTATGAGCAGGTCAGCTATTTAGTAAGCTGTTCCCTTATTCATATCTTATATGGAATCGCAATGACCTGTTATTATCTGGAGTGTTGCTGCTTAAATGAAATTTCATTCTTTTTCCTTAGTGAAGCACTTAGGCTTCACATGTATGGTACAGCATCAAACATTTCATTTTAGAAATTTGTTATGTGCTGTTATTTTTTTCAACTGTTTTAGAGAGAAGCTTATAATGCTTCATATGATGTATTTTAGAAGTAAATGACCTAAAACATTATAAACCTTTTTTAAAATGTAAGAATCATGCAAACACCAAAGGCGCACTCTAGAATAATATTCTAATCTAATCACAAAGTAACATATTTTCTTAAGAAACCTTATGATGTGCCTGGAAAATAGCGTGTACGTTGGCTGTAATCATCATACCATATTTATAAGCAAGTTAAGTATTTTTTTAAAAAAAGTTTTTTAAAAAACCTTGCATAGCATTTGAAGTGTCATAAAGGGTCAAAAGCTTTAATGAATAGCCGTGCCTTTACTCAGTGCCTAAATGAAACTGACATTGGAGCCAGTTGGGCCTCCAGGGGGAGTGCATTCCACATTTGAAGTTTGATAGTGGAGAGTGGTCTCTTTCACAGTGCATTAACGTCACTAGTAGAACTCAGTAGAGCTTCCATAGCTGGCCTCAAGATGATATATATTAACGATTATGTAAATTATCACATATAACATGAATTTCTTATGTCCGAGACTCAAAATTAGAAGTTATTTGCAATGTAAATGTTTATGCAAATAGAGCAAAGTATTATTGCTGCAGATAGTAGTGACTGTGAAGACCGCAAGCTCGTATGGAAAGCTCTGTTAACACACTGCAGTGAACAAAAGTTTTAATATAACCACAGTGTGGGTAATTTTTGACTCACCCTCTCGTAAAATTATTTTGCATGGACTTGAAAGAGTAATAAACTATAGATTGTGGCTAATCAACAAAAATAACTTATTTCAAAATAATGATATAAAACAATGAAAGGAGATTTTTAAATGAAAGATGGCAAAGAATTCAATTAACTTGGATGGGGAGAATAGCGGTGATAAATATGATGATCTTACCCAAAATGCTCCCCCCCCCTTTCAAAACATTACTGAAGGAGTGAGAATTTTAAAATAATGGAATGATTTGACCAAATGTATATGGCATGGAAAAAAGTTAATAGATGACATAGAGAAGAGGGGGGGGGGCTTAACACTGCCAGACCTTAGGTGTTATTACGAAGCGGTAGGCTTCAGTTCGCTAAAGGATTTGAATAAGATTAGAAAATCGAGCTTTACTCAATCCAGACATATATACTGGCTGGCATGCATATTTATGGTATGGAAAAGATATAATTAATAAAGATTTCCACAGACATCCCATGAGAGCAAGTCTATTAATGGTTTGGAAAAGATATAAGGCAGGGATGGAACAAAAAACTCTGCTATGGCTATGCCCTCTAGAAACAACATTAAATCCAATTTTTAATGAGGAAACAAGAATCTATCTATAGGGAGGAATGGCATACCTGTATTTTGTGTATTTGATTATCTTTAAATATTTTTCTTATCTTTTGTATGCCATTTATTCACTTAATAATACAAGAAAAGAAAGCAACAGACAAGAAAACAAATCCTTTGATAATTTTAATTAAAATATAATAAGTATGGTGTTGTCTTGATTGCATAATTATGTATAATGTGGGGCAGTCATATCTGTAGGGGTTCAGTTTTGTGACCCTGCGTGGATATGAAATAGGTAGACGGCCCGTTTTCTTCAGTGTGTTCATATTCATGTTGACACTATTTAATAACATGGAGAATGACAATCTGTTGGAGGAAATTTTGGATCTGGAGCCACAGTACATGGATGTACTATTTATGACGGATATATACTTTTTGTGTATTTGACACTGTGAGTGTTTTGCATTCTGGTCCTATTTCTGATTTCCCCAGGAATCCAGTTGGTTAACTGTAAGCAGAAAACTGGGCTAGCCAGGCATTTGACTTCCTCTAGCAGAGGATATTTTTATGTCCAGTCAATATGATTTGAATATTTAGCAGACTTCATGCTCCAGGACTACATCTTTGAAAGAAGAACCAAATACACAGCAGGCCAAGAACTGGGTTCTGAAATGGCTAAGATTGATAGATAGAGTAGAAGGAAACTACAAAAAACTGAACAATACTCCCTCCACGATTGATCAATTAAAATAATATTTGAATGAAAGAAAGTACTGTTCCCGGATGGACACAGGTGGGAGATAAATGTGGATTCGGCAATGTTAAGAAAATTAAGAGAATAACATTTGGTTTGTATTATGAAATGGTTACTGAATTTGACATTATTCTACCCATGTTTACAATTTTAAAAAATTAAAAAAAGAAGTTAATATGAAATATGCAACCCTTTGTAGATTGATTTATTAAAAAACAATTACATAAGAACTTGAACATCTGGAATTCTCATTGTTCATAATTTCATTCATCTAAATATGTTTACTGAATTAAGTGCCTCTGTTGTCAGTTATACTCATTCATTTCCTTTTCCCTTTAATAGCTTATTTAAGAATGAAGTGTTTGTTCAGTAATTTTCAAAATTATGTATTTCCAATATAAGTATTAGACTGAGGCTTCTTCTTTATAAACTAGATTTTGTGGGTAAATGTCTATGATTTTCCTGCTTCTTGGTAGGCGGTTGGACTGGCTGGCCAATGTGGTCTCTTCCAACTTTATGATTTTATTCTGATCTTTATATGTAGGCTCTTAATTAAAAAATATTGTTGATACAAAGTATTGATAGTATTGGGTTTTTCTTCGTCTTAGAACTGCCCACTTGGTATTTTAGCATAACCTTTATGTGCTTTAACTGCATTTTTTATCATTTCAAATGAACTAACGGAGCATCCAAAATACCATATATACTCGAGTATAAGCCGACTCAAATATAAGCCTAGGCACCTAATTTTACCCCCCCCCCCCCAAAACTGGGAAAACTTATTGACTTGAGTATAAGCTGAGGGTGGGAAATACAGCAGCTACTGGTAAATTTCAAAAATAAAAATAGATACCAATAAAATTACATTAATTGAGGCATCAGTAGGTTAAATGTTTTTGAATATTTACACAAAACTGTAATTTAAGACTGTCCAAATCTGATGAAATCATTATTCTAACCTTCTTCTGTGTAAATGTGCTTACCAGTATGTATCCTTCCAATAATAATAAATAAGAGTAAAATAATAAATGTAGTAATAACAATAGAATAAAATAATAAATGTAATAATAATAAATAAGAGTAAAATAATAAATGTAATAACACCAATGAGGGTAGAATAATAAATGTAATAACAACTATAATAAATAGGGTAAAATAATGAATGTAATAACAATAGAATTAAATAATAAATTTAATAATAATAGTAATAATAGAGTAAAATAATAAATGTAATAATAATAAATAGGGTAAAATAATACATGTAATAATAATAGAATAAAATAATGAATATAATAATAATAAATAGGATAAAATAATAAATGTAATAATAGAATAAAATAATAAATATAATAATAATACATAGAGTAAAATAATAAATGTAATAACACTAATAATTAATAGGGTAAACAATTGAAACTAAAACCGATAGAGGAGATCAGACAGTTAAACCACAAGCTCACATGGTTACAATATCATCCACTACACCAAAGTGTTACGGGAGTGT